CAGGCCCCATGGTGTCAGCCACTGATGATGGGTGCAAAGGTTTCAGGATGTTAAAGACTTGTCTTTTTCAAAACTATAACAAAAAGATGAGAGACAGAAGGGGAAAAAATCCCTGGTTCAAAGAGGTCAAACTCGTGCCGAGGAATGTACGACTAAATTTGATGGGCATGTCGAATAATTGTTTCAAATTATTTAAATATTATGACATAGGCCAAGTCGCCAGGTATCTGTCAAATATAACCATTCAATTTGGATGGTAATGCCTTTGAATGTCATTGCCATTACCATTCAACCTAATTCAAAAAGTTAATCATAACCATGGTTCACTTTAATCGAAAAGAGTAAGCGCAGGGCACATGGCATATGCCACTTGTGCCATATGGTTAATCTGGCACTGCATGGAGTGTTTATCAGCCCAGATGAGTTTTATTAATCCAACATGGGTGTCAGATGTTGGCATCCAAGGTAAACGAGCATGCTAATATACATACTTAGTACTTAGAAAATTTCAATTTTTTCCAGACCAGATTTAAAACATTCTCTTTCTATTTTCAAACTTTAATTGTGTGGTTTGACACTTTTCTTGTTCCGTGCCAAATTTTATTCATCAAAACTTCAAGCTGTCAAGCTCCCAGCTATGTTTCCTTAATTGCCAAAATTGACTTTCTCAGACCCAATTGCTCAAAAAGTTTCCCCCAATGGCCCGGTTTCCCACAACTCGCAAGCTATATATGTGGTTCTCAAACTTTCGTCAAGTTTTCTGACCAAGGCCTAACAAAAAATATCCTGTTGTTCCGGTTTCCTGACTAGCTGATACTACAACATTGGTATTCACTTCTATAATAAGAACAATTTCTCTTCTTTTTCTCTCTTGTAAATATATATATATATATATATAATTCAATTTGTTTTGGTTGCCTGAAACGTGAAACGTGAGGACGTGAAACTCAGAGTAGCGATATTTAATTTTAAGATATAGACAATCTATATATATATATATATATATATATATATATATATATATATATATATATATATATATATATATATATATATATATATATAGAGAGAGAGAGATATATATATATATATATATATATATATATATATATATATATATATATATATATATATATATATATATATATATATATATTCCTTTAATATTGTGATTGACTGTAAAGAACTGATCTTTTAGAAAAGAATGAAAGTTTGCATGAAGAGTTTAAGGGCTTAAACTAAAGCAAATTGTCTGAAATTTTGTACTGTAATTAAAACCCTCACAAAGTTAAAGCTTTTAAATTTTGTGGGCAAGTAATTTTTAGTTTGTTGGAAAAGGCACTCCCCCAGGTTTTCAAAATTTGTGTTCGAGACAATTTTTTCTTTATTCTACATTATGGGTACCTCAAGGAATCTATATATATATATATATATAAACAGTTTTGTTTTTCGTTATAGATAAAAGAGTGCTCAATACTACAAATTATTTAGCAGAGCGAATTAATTTGTTATCTTAAAATGTAGATCTATAGATCACGCCATTATAACGAACTGAATTTAATCGCCTGAAGATTGCCACAAATAGTGGCATGAAACTTAAAGTAGCGAGAAATTGAAACATTTTAAGATAACAAATTATATATATATATATATAGTTTTTCGTTTTACCTCAAAAAACCACAACAGTCTGTTTCATCCGTATAGGAATCATCAGGTGATACCTGACCTATAGACCACCTGATGATTATATACCTATAGACCACCTGATGATTCCTATACGGATGAAACAGACTGTTGTGGTTTTTTGAGGTAAAACGAAAAACTATATTACGCTCTATCTATATGGTATTGAGCACTGTTTGTGTTTCGTAAACCAAAATCTTAAGCTATATATATGTATATATATATATATATATATATATATATATATATATATATATATATATATATATATATATATATATATATATATATATATATATATAATTCTTTGATCTTAAAATATATTTGTCGCTACACTGTGTTTCACGCTTGTGTTTCATGTTGATTGAATCAACTTCATTCGCCTGAAGATCGCTTCGAAAGAAGCGTGAAACACAGTGTAGCGACAAATATATTTTAAGATTAAAGAATTATTTAAGCTCTATCGTATATTGGTATTGAGCACTCTTCGTTCAATTACGGACAACAAGAATTAATTATATATATATATATATATATATATATATATATATATATATATATATATATATATATATATATATATATATATTCCTTTAAATTAATATTGTGATTGACTGTAAATAATTTATTACATAACACAATACAAACTAGCATAACTAGAGACCTAAATAAAAAGTCTACTAAGATTTCTAGTAGGTCTCTAGCCCGCACTCTACAATTATTGTAAATATACTACACATAAATTTATTGTACATGGGGAAAATTTTTAAAAGAAAAAAAAAAAGAAA